GTAATTCCAGCACTTTGGGAGGCTGAGGCAGGTGGATCACAAGTTCAGGAGTTCAAGACCAGTCTGGCCAACATAGTGAAACCCCATCTCTATTAAAAATACAAAAAAGAAGAAACAAAAAACAAAACAAAACAAAAAAACAGAAAACAACAACAACAAAAAAAAGAAAAAATAATCATAATAATAAATAAAATAAAAATATGAAAAATTAGCTGGGTGTGGTGGTGTGTGCCTGTAATCCCAGCTACTCGGGAGGCTGAGGCAGGAGAATCACATGAACCCAGCATTTGGAGGTTGCTGTGAGCCAAGATTGCGTCATTGCACTCCAGTCTGGATGACAGTGCAAGACTCCATCTCAAAAAAAAAAAGATGATAAGGACCTTTGTTTTGTTTATTTATATCAGGAACCATGTGCAGAAATGAAGAAACAATCTGCTGGATTGTTATACTTTCTCTTCTGCAAATTTGGAGCTTTAATCAGATGATGCCTGTTTTTTTCCCTAAACATAGCTGGATAAAGAGGAGGAAAGATTCTATCAATTACTTGTATGCCCCCAGACTCCCCTGGCCCCTTTCAAAGCACCTTGGATGCTGGGACATTGTAGTACTTGCCCGGCTTGGTCATGACTCAAAGATTTTATGGATCCTTTGGCAGCAATCTTTGAGAGCATCCGTAGCTGAATGCCTGCACCTAGTAAGCTTCCAGTAAACAGATCTGATGAGTGATGCAGATACTAATGCAATAGCATTGCATTGTGAGAAGCATGAACTTTGGAGTCCAATGTTTTTTTATGCATTCCTTCAACAAACATTTAAGTATCTGTAAGTGCCAGGCATCATTGTAGGTACTGGGATGTATTAAATAGCAATGAGCCAGGTGTGGTGGCCCACACCTGTAATCCTAGTACTTTGAGAGGCCAAGGTGGGTGGATCACCTGAGGTCAGGAGTTCGAGACCAGCCTAGCCAACATGGTAAAAGCTGGTCTCTACTAAAAATACAGCAGTTAGCAGGGTGTGGTGATGCATTCCTGTAATCCCAGCTACCTGGGAGGCTAAGGCAGGAGAATTGCTTGAACGCAGGAGGCGGAGGCTGCAGTGAGCTGAGATTGTGTCACTGTACTAGCCTGGTAACAGAGCAAGACTTTGTCTCAAAAAAATAAAACAGAAAAAGAAAAAAATGAAAGAAAAGAAAATAGAGCAGGACAAGGACAGCCTGTGGGGAGGTATGGGAGAAGAGGGCTCTTTTCTTTTTTAAATTTTTTTATTTCTACATTGGCTCAGAAACAAAGAGAGGGCTCTTTTCTATGTGGAGTTAGGGAAGGCTTTGATGCTGGCAGAAGGGCCTGCAATGTGGATATTTGAGGAGGAATATTCCAGACAGAAGAAATAGCAAATATAAAGGCTCTGAGGCAAGAAAAAGTCTGGTCTGTTCAAAGAATAGCACAGAGGCCAATGTGGCTACAGCTAGTATCCGGAGGAGAGCATGGCTGGTGGCGAGGAGGGACATAGGCATTTGAAAGAATCATGGAAAGCCAGCCCTGGCAGGTCTTTTTGTTTGTTTGTTTGTTTTGAGACAAGGTCTTGCTCTGTTGCTCAGGCTGGAATGCAGTGGTGTGATCACAGCTCGATGCAGCCTCAACCTCTCAGGCTTAAGCAATCCCTCCCACCTCAGCCTCCTGAATAGCTGGGACTACAGATGTGTACCACCACACCCTACTAATTTATTAATTCTCCTTTTGTAGAGACAAGTTAATCAGGCTGGTTTTGAACTCCTGGGCTCAAGAGCTCCACTTCCCTTGGCCTCCCAAAGTGCTAGGATTACAGGGGTGAGACACCGCTCCTAGGCAGCCATGGCAGGTCTTAAGCAGATAAGTGACATGAGAAGTTTTCTTTTAAAAGGATTTCTTGGCTGGGTGTGGTGGCTCATGACTGTAATCCAAGCACTTTGGAGGCCAAGGCGGGTGGATCACCTGAGTTCGGGAGTTCAAGACCAGCCTGACCAACATGGCGAAACCCCATCTTTAAAAAAAGAAAAATATAAATAAATAAAAAGAAAGGATTTCTCTGGCTGCCTGTGAAGAATGTTTAGTAAGGGAGGCATGAGCAGAAGTAGGAAGACTGTTTAGGAGACTTTTTAGGAATCTAGGACAGGAGTGACTAGCACATTAGTGGTGGACTTGGGAAGAAGGATTTAGATCAGGATTTATTTTAGAGATGGAGTTTTTTTGTCTGTTTTTTGTTTTTGAGACAGAGTCTTGCTTTGTCACCCAAGCTGGAGTACAGTGGAGCAATCTCGGCTCACTGTAACCTCGACCTCCTGGGTTTAAGCAATTCTCCTGCCTCACCTCCCGAGTAGCTGGGACTATAGGCATGTGCCACCTTGCCTGGCTAATTTTTGTATTTTTGGTAGAGACAGGGTTTTACCATATTGGCCAGGCTGGTCTCAAACTCCTGACCTCAAGTGATCCATCTGCCTCAACCTCCCAAAGTGCTGGGATTACAGGCGTGAACCACCATGCCTTACTTGAGATGGACCTTTTAGAACTTAGGAATGAGAGAAAAAAAGGAATTGTAGATCACATCTAGGTTTGGTTTGTATAACTCAAGAGTTTCTCCACATCAGTGCTATTGACATTTGAGGCCAGTTGGTTCTCTCTAGTGGATGCTTCTGTGTTGTGGAGGTTCTGTGTTGTGGATGATTCCATGTTGTGGATGGTTCCCTGTTGTGAAGGTTCCATGTTGTGGATGGTTCCATGTTGTGGAGGTTCTGTGTTGTGGATGGTTCTGTGTTGTGGATGGTTCTGTGTTGTGGATGATTCCGTGTTGTGGATGGTTCCGTGTTGTGGATGGTTCCCTGTTGTGGATGGTTCCCAGTTGTGAAGGTTCCATGTTGTGGATGGTTCCATGTTGTGGAGGTTCTGTGTTGTGGATGGTTCTGTGTTGTGGATGATTCCGTGTTGTGGATGGTTTTCTCTTGTGGATGGTTCTGTGTTGTGCATGATTCTGTGTTTTGGATGGTTCTCTCTTGTGGATGGTTCTGTGTTGTGGAGGTTCTGTGTTGTGGAGGTTCTGTGTTGTGGAGGTTCTCAGTTGTGGATGGTTCTGTGTTGTGGATCGTTCAGTGTTGTGGAGGTTCTGTGTTGTGGATGGTTCTGTGTTGTGGATGGTCCTCTGTTGTGGAGGTTCTCTGTTGTATTTGCTGCAGATGTTCATGGTAGGCTGCTTAGGAGCATCCACCCACTAGATGTCAGTAGCAGCCCCACTTAGGACAACCACAGTGTCTCCAGACATTGCCAAATGTCTCATGGGGGCAGAAGCACTGCTGGCAGAGAACCACTGGGGTAACTGAATGAATAGGGTATATACCATTCACTGAGATGGGGGTCAAGGAAGGTATGTCAAGAGTGGATTCCATTTTGGACATGTTGAGCTTCAGAGGCCCACCCAATAGGCATATCTGGTAGTCTGTAGGCTGACAAGTCTGGAAATCAAAGCAGATTCTGAGTAGATCTATAAATTAGGAAACTTGTGTGCCTATATCCTAGCTGCTTGGGAGCCCAGGAGGTGGAGGTTGCAGTGAGCCAGGATCACACCACTGCACTCCAGCCTGGATGACAGAGTAAAAACCTATCTCAAACAAAACGAAACAAACAACAGACAATGTTTAAATTAGGAAACTATCAATCAGCATAGCTCATAGGCACAGTTAAAGCCAAATGCCTATCAGTGAGTGCAGATAGAGAAGAGGGTCAAAAGCGAAGGCAAGGGCCACACCAGCAGGCAGAGGCTCAGAACAAAAGGAGAGGCCAACAGAGAAGACGCCAAAGGAGCCTCAGGTAGGAGCGATAGAAGCAGGAGCATGGGGGGCTCTGGAAGTTCAGGGCAGAAGGCGTTACAAGGAGGACTGAGTAGTGAACTCTGTCATTTGCTGCCAGCTGGTCAAGAAAGAAGACAAAGAGCTGACCGTTCTGTTTGGCAAGACTGAGTTTGTCGGCAGCGCTGGGAAAAATAGTCACTGTAAGGTCGTGGGGGACATGGTTGACCAGGGCAGGTTAAAATGAGACTGGAGAGATGTTTCCACTTGTAGTAAAGGCAGACTGGGTAATTCAGACCAGCTCACCCGCTGAGGACTGCCAGAAAAACTAGCCTACGAGAGGAGCCTACGAGACAGTGAGGTAAATGGCCTACCCTGCCCAGGGATGGAAGTTCAGCATGCAAAGCAGCTTTTGCCCTGGTCATATCTGCTGAAGAGGCTGGAAGTTTATCTAAATTTTTCATGGTTTCTCAGAGTTAGGGGAATAAAAATTTGACTTAGTTTTAATTAAACCTTGGATCCAGCCTGGGAGACCCTGAAAGCTTTGGTTAGGCACACCACAGGACTGCACGCAAAGAGTAAGCTTGGCCAGGAGTAACCAGCATCCCGTCTACACCCTGCCCCCAGCTTTGATTGCACCAACTGAAGGGTGAGGTGGCCCAGAAAAAGCCCATTAGCTAATTTTGGATTAAAGTGATCCCAGGTTATTAGTGCTCCTGGGTAACTAGAAAAAGCAAACAAAATCAAAGATAGGGCTGGACACGGTGGCTCAAGCCTGTAATCCCAGCACTTTGGGAGGCCAAGACGGGTCGATCACGAGGTCAAGAGATCGAGACCAACCTGGTCAACCTGGTGAAACCCCATCTCTACTAAAAATACAAAAAATTAGCTGGGCACGGTGGTGTGTGCCTGTAATCCCAGCTACTCAGGAGGCTGAGGCAGGAGAATTGCCTGAACCCAGGAGGCGGAGGTTGCGGTGAGCCGAGATCGCGCCATTGCACTCCAGCCTGGGTAACAAGAGCGAAACTTCGTCTCAAAAAAAATAAAAAAATCAAAGATAGATAAACAAAAATACAAAACAACGCGAACAACAACAACAACAACAAAAAAAAAACCCAAGAGCTCAGGTATCATATGCTTACTATGTTTAAGGAGATAAAAGACAAAATTTTAAATTTCAGCAAGATGTGGAATAGTTTTATTTTATTATAGTTACAATAAAAGACAGCAGTTTTAAAAAAGGAATAAAATAGAATTTTAGACCTGAAAAATAGAATAACTGAAATTAGTATAATAAATTACAAAAGGGCACGAGGAAGCTTTCTGGAGGATGGGTATTTTTACTATTTTTATTACGGTGATGGTTTCATCACAGTTCATCAAGGCATAACCTGTAGTCCCAGCTACTCAGGAGACTGAGGCAGGAGGATCTCTTGAGCCCAGGAGGTCAAGGCTGCAGTGAGCTGTCATCACAGCATTGGACTCCATCCTGGGTGATAGAGCAAGAACCCATCTCGAAAAACATAAACATTTCTATGTAAAAACAGAAAACTCATATGTTTACAATTAAGAAATACACTTTCAAATAACCAATAGGTCAAATTTTAAAATCAGAATGGAAATTTTAAAATATTTTTAAATAGGCTTTGGGAGGCCAAGGTGGGTGGATCACTTGAGGTCAGGAGTTTGAAACCAGCCTGACCAACATGGAGAAATCCCATGTCTACTAAAAACACAAAATTAGCTGGGCATGGTGGTGCATGCCTGTAATCCCAGCTACTCGGGAGGCTGAGGCAGGAGAGTCTCTTGAACCCGGGTGAGCTGATATCACGCCACTGCACTCCAGCCTGGGCAACAAGAGCAAAACTCTGTCTCAAAAAATAAAATAAGGCCGGGTGTGGTGGCTCATGCCTGTAATCCCAGCACTTTGGGAGGCTGAGGCAGGCAGATCATGAGGTCAGGATATCAAGACCGTCCTGAGCAACATAGTTAAACCCCGTCTCTACTAAAAAAAATTTTTTAAATTAGCTGGGCGTGGTGGTGTGTGCTTGTAGTCCCAGCTACTTGGGAGGCTGAGGCAGAAGAATCACTTGAACCTGAAGGTGGAGGTTGCAGTGAGCTGAGATTGTGCCACAGCACTCCAGCCTAGTGTCACAGTGAGACTCCGTCTCCAAAAATAAATAAATAAATAAATAAAAATAAAATATTTTGAAATAATGTTGGGCATGGTGGCTCACCCCTGTAATCTCAGCACTTTGGGAGGCTGAGGCAGGTGGATCACCTGCGGTCAGGAGTTCGAGACCAGCCTGGCCAACATGGTGAAACCCATCTCTACCAAAAATATAAAATTAGCTAGGCGTGGTGGCAGGCACCTGTAATCCCAGCTATTTGGGAGGCTGCAGCAGGAGGATTGCTTGAATCCGACAGCCAGAGGTTGCCAGTGAGCCAAGATTGTGCCATTGCACTTCAACCTGGGTAACGAGCAAAACTCTGTCTCAAAAAATATATATGTATTTTGAAATAAATGATTTCATAAATACTATTGATCAAAATTGGTTGTGTATAACTAAAGCAGTGCATAGAAGGAAATTTCAGTCTCAATGGCATCTCTTAAGAAGAAAGCCTGAAAATTGAGCCATGTATGCATCTCAAAAAGTCAGAAAAAAAGCACATATCAAACTCAAGGAAGAAATTATAAATATAAGCATACAAATTAATTAAATAGAAAATAAAATGGGAGCCAGACGCAGTGGCTCATACCTGTAGTCCCAGCACTTTGGGAGGCCAAAGTGGGCGGATCACAAGGTCAAGGAGTTCAAGACCAACCTGGCCAATATGGTAAAGCCCAATCTCTACTAAAAATACAAAAAATTAGCTGGGTGTAGTAGCACACGCCTGTAATCCCAGCTACTGGCGAGGCTGAGGGAGGAGAATTGCTTGAACCCGGGAGGTGGAGGTTGCAGTGAGCCAAGATCACACCACTGCACTCCAGTCTGGGTGACAGAGTGAGACTCCGTCTGGGGGGAAAAAAAAAGAAAATGGGCCGGGCATGGTGACTCACCTCTGTAATCCCAGCACTTTGGGATGCCAAGGCAGGTGAACCACTTGAGGTCAGGAGTTCAGGACCTGCCTCACCAACATGGTGAAACCCTGTCTCTACTAAAAGCATAAAAATTAGCCAGGCATAATGGCACATACCTGTAATCCCAGCTGGTTGGGAGGCTGAAGCAGGCAAATCACTTGAAACCAGGAGTCAGAGGTTACATTGAGCCGAGATCGAGCCATTGCACTCCAGCCTGGGCAACAAAAGTGAAACTGTCTCAAAAGGAGAGAGAGAGAGAGAAAGAAAGAAAATGAATGGGACCCTCTCATAACAGCAAGGACTGCTGATGCCTGAGGTGGTTAATTCGAAGATGAATAAAATTGTTAAACTCTAGGTGAGATGGATCAAGGCCGTATTTAAGTTAACAGTCTACCTGTTCCTTCAGTTACTGAGAAGGGTGTGGTCAGTCTTGCACTAGAATGGTGGATTTGTCTCTCTTCCTTTAGTTCTATTTGTCTTTGCTTCGTGTATTTTGATGTGCTGCTTTTAGGTAGACATATATTTAGAATTGTTTTTATCCATGTTCTTCACAGCAGCCATTCCCTAAGCCTGTCCTGGAGGAGCATCCCCAGGGGCAGAGGCAGCCGTGCGTGGGTGGCCTGGTGGTTCCTGCAAGCTGCAGGCCCTGCTTTGTGCCACAGTGAACCTGAGCAGGCACTGTCAAGCCTGCCTCCCACAGTGCTGGATCTTATATGGCTCTGAGGCACTAGCACAGGCTTTGGAGCCACATAGACTCAGTTCTGTCTGCCAGCCTAGCCCCTCACTAGCTGACATTTGAAGGAATCCATTTTCCTGCAGCCTTGACTTCCCAGAATCAAGCAATCCTCTCACCTCAGCCTCCTGAGTAGCTGGACTACAGGCATGTGCCACCAGGCTCGGCCAATTTTTCTTATTATTTATAGAGACAGGTTCTCACTTTGTTGCCCAGGATGGTCTCAAACTCCTGGGTTCAAGCGATCCTCCCACCTCAGCCTCCCGAAGTGCTGGGATTATTGATGGGAGCCACTGTGCCCAGTCATTGCTTCTTATTCTTTCCATAACCAATTGTTCCAGTCCCCTACTCCACTCATGTGGCCTGTGAGTCTGACTTCTTGTTCTCGGCTAATGTCCTTAGACCAGCTCTTCAAGGTCTAAGGACACTGAGACCACAACCCTAGCCTCAGTGTGGGTTCTGGCAGGGGTGCTTGTGGGACAGTTGATGCTCAGTGGTGTTCCATTTCCAGAGAAGTCAGTGGGTGGCCTGCCAGGACAGCTCTGAAAGGGACACTGAAGGCATGGCAGGAAGGGGCCAAGCTGGGAGCCTGGGGAAGTGGGAAGAATGTTGGTCTGGGTCTGTAAAGCCGTGCCCTGTCTGCTGGGCTTCTTGCATGGTGTACAGCTAAGAAACTGTGAACTAAGTTTTGGCTTGGCGGTTTTTTGCATTGTAGGAAGAATGGAGCCAAAGAGAAATTGTGAGTGTGGCGATGGCTCAAGCCCTGGAGGAGGTGCGGAAGCAAAGGGAAGAGCTCCAGCAGCAGGTGCGCCCTGTTCACGCTGAGAAATGTCCCCTACCATCTCATAAGCAGCAGGCCCCATCCTGCTCTGGGACTGTGGGAGAGGCCCTGTCTCTCCAGGGTAGGGGTTGCAGACACAGGGCTCAGGGAAAGCAGTCAGCCACATGGGCCCCTGTGCTCTCTTGGAAGCTGCAAGACAAATGTTATAAACAAACCCGCACCCTGTAGGATGCCCTTTTCGATGTTCCATGGTGAGTTTTTAGTTATAAACGTTACCAGGAAATTGGTCCATGCCCAGGGACCGGCTGGGCTCTAATTCTGTGAGGTGACCCATCACTGCCCACCTGCCCCAGAGGCTACATGAGGTTGGGTTGAGTTTTCGCAGGAAGTATGGGAAAGCCCCCCCTTGAAGGTAGACTTCGAGTCTGACCCCAGAGCTTCTAGCTAAGTGGCTCTAGGCCTTTGGTAGATCCTTAACAAAGCTGAGCCTCCTCTGATGAGGACTCTAGTCCTTCTGCTTATACCTCTGGGAAACTATTGTATAATGAGGTAACATACATCAGATGCGGCCTAGTGCTGGGCATGCTGCAGGTGCTCAAGTTATGAGCAGTTTTATGCCAGAAAACTGCAGAAGTTATGCCAGTTTGTTGGGCTGGGCAGAATGGCCACGTCTCTGGTTGACCCACTGTTGGCCGGGGGGCAGTAGGAGGTGACTGTCCCTGTGCAGGGCCCCTGCCAGGGAGAATGGATTTGTGCATGTACATAGGAACAGAGCTTAGCTGTGGGTTTGCTTTGGGTCGTGGACTTCAGGGAATGATTTGTGGTGTGGACCTCAAATAGCAGGAAAGTGGAGATTTCTGTGGGGAGATAAGGTCACTGCTGGCAACCTTCTCTCGTTGATTTTTGTCTCCAAGGCAGCTAACCTGACAGCCATACTAGAGGAGAAGGAACAGAATCTGCAGGAAAAAACGGAAGCGCTTCTCCAGAAAGAACAGGAGATTCTGCAGCTGGAGCAAGGTAAGGAGTCTGTCCCTGGCCAAGCCTATTCTTCTTTTCAGGCCGGGCATCCTGCCCTGTGAGGACCTTGCCACCAAGCAGCATGGAGTCACTGCGCTCACATGCACCCCCCACCTCCTCCCCGACCTAGGTCACAACTCTGCCCTGCTGCAGATGCATCAGCTGCAGGCCGAGCTGGAGGCCCTAAGGACCCTGAGGGTGGAGGAGGCTGCAGCCGCCACGGAGCCGGAGGACCTGCTGAGGCTGCGGGGCCCATTGCAGGAAGAAGTGCTCTCAGTCAGCGAGCCGCAGGTAAGTGCCAGCAGCACCTGCATGGGTGCTACAGCAAGATGCAGGGCAGGTGCCGAGAGCATCCCCTGAGGAGGCAGCAGTGGGAGACACGGTGAACAGGATGCTGCCCTGCATGTAGGGGCCTTTCTTTGAGGGAGGCACTCATATGGCTAGGAGGCTGTGAGGCCTGAAGAGGCCGTCACAGATGGCGCCCTTGTCAGTAGGCAGATGGAGGGCTAGCCCCTTCATCCCAGCAAAGACTAGTTGTGTGATAGTTGTGGGCACTGGGCATTGGATCTTCTCCAGGAATTTGCTTTGTGGCCAGTTGCCTATTGGAGCACACCAGGCCACACCTGAGGGATGAATCTGGCTCCCCTTCCCTGTACACCTGTGGCTCAGCTTGACCTTACCTGTCCTGGCTCTCAACTGGCTGCCACCACCTTGTAGGTCACCTCGAGGGCCATGCAGGACCCTGTGTTCCAGCTTCCCGCTGCAGGAAGAACACCAAATGGTGAGGTTGGGGCCATGGATCTTGCGCAGCTACAGAAGGAAAAACAGGACTTGGAGCAGCAACTTCTGGAGAAGAATAAGGTGAGGATGCCCTTTGCATGTCTGTTTCTGTCTCCACCCAGTCCCTGCCCTCATGCCTAAAATGACCCAGGCCGTCCTTGGAGGGTTTTGTGGTGCCCCCTGAACCTCCTGGGAGCCATGACCCCCTATTCTTCCATCCATCATGTACTGTCCTCTTCTCCCCTCCTCCTGGAGAGCTGGCTGAGTGTCCGGTTTGGGCAGCTGCAAGCCTGTGTGTTCCCTGCCAGCTCTGCTGTCCCCAGCCAGGCCATAGTGACAGTCCCCTTTCCTCTGTACTTCCTTTCTACAGCTGTCGCAGGACAGCACTGATATTTGCCTTTAAGGGTTGGTTTGGGTGGGAAGAGGGGGGTGTAAAATGAGGGTATTTGCTAACTGTCCTGTAAACTGTATAAACTTTCTGGTATTTGCTAAAGGCTCAATAAACGTCATGGTCCCCACCCCTCACCCTCCAGCCTTTCCACCTATAAATGCAGGCTCTCATTTAATCCTGGTTCTTCAAGTGTCCTGTGAAGCTTCATATGCCAGCCAGCTATTGCTCTGGCCTAAATTCTGCCCCTAAATTGTGTGTGTGTGTGTGTGTGTGTTTCCCCTTTTACAAAGGGGAAAAGTGGTCATTATCTCTCCTTCCTCTCTCTCTTTTCATTTAATCTTTTCCTGTGAAATATAAAATATACATAGAAAAGTATATAAAACAAATGTGGGCCTAAATGAATTAACAGAAAGCAAACCCCATGTGGTTATGCGTATCAGGACATTGCCAGCATCCCAGAAACCCAGCCCTCTGGGCCCCTCACAACCCTGTCAGTCACTCCAATCCCAGCCCTTCTGGCAATGACTGCCTTGCTTTTTTCCCTAGTGTCACCACCTTAGCTCATAGTGCTCAACCCCACAGTTTCACTTTGCCTGTTTGTGCATTTCCCATGTGTCCCCAGGACCTCCCTCCCTTGAGCCTCTGGCCTTACCGGCCGTGCTGCCTTCCTGCCTCCTTGCTCGGCTTTGAGACCTTATCTGTCATGGGACCACTGCCTTCCCAACACCTGCGGTCCTCTGGCCTCTCTCCCATTCCTCAGACTGTCCTAGCCAAGCTCTGGTTAAACTCGAGCTAAACCCAACTCTTCCCTGCAGCCACAGAGCCAGATCTGACTGGAGAGTGGCATCACTTGGGCACTCAGGTCCCCTCGAAGCTCAGGACCATGGTCCTGCAGGCAGGCCAGTGTTCCCCACCACCCCACCTCATCTTGGGGGCCTTCACACCCCTCTGCCCCTCACCCCAGCTTCATGTCTACCTTCTCTCCTCTCTTCACCTCAACCCTGCCTCACCTGCCCTGGCATTCCCACCTCCTGCTTCTCTGAGAAGGGACACACCACAGCCTCTCCTCATATTCCGTTCCCCCACCTCCCCATGTACTATGCCAGCCACTTCCTGCTTCTTGCCTAGGTCATCATTTTTTCTTGGAGTCGTCCCATCCACTGAGAAGTGTGTTGTTATACAGGTGCCTGATGAAAGCCCTCTGCTCACACCCCCTTGCCCTGCTGCTGTGGCTCTGCTCTCCTCGCGAGCTGACTTGTTGAAACTCTCTACATCTGCCATCTCCATTCCGACTCCTCATCTTGCTCAGCCTTTCCCCCACCACTGCACAGAAAAACGCTCTTGTCAAGCTCATCAGTGACATCATCATTGCTAAATCCAGAAGGCAGTTCCTAATTTTCCCTCTGCTTGGCCTGTCTGCAGCTTTGGACAGGTGACTCTTCCTCCTTCTGAAGCTCCCATCCATGGCCTCCTCCTTCTCCGCCTCTTCTGATGGGCCAGTCTCCCTTCCACTGCTACCCACCATGTGCAAGGGCAGCCCTCGTGCCTCTTCTCTGCATTGCTTGCCCTACTGTGCCATCTCACCTATGCTCTGTGCAGCTAGCTCCCCCATCCCTGCCTTCAGCCTGGACGGCTCCCTGGACGCTAGCCTCATGAAGCTGTCTCCATGTGAGCTCTAAGGTGTCTACAACTCAAAACACTTGAAAACACACTTCAGCTTCACTGCGCTCCCTGGCTGCCATGGCCACCTTTCCCATCTCAGGAGGTGGCAAAAGCCTTGGAATTGTCCTCTCTGACTTGGTTCTTTCTCTGCCAGTATCCAGGCCATTAGCAGATTCCTTCAGCACCCCCTTCACACATTTCCCAGAATCTACCACTTGGGATTGCTGCCACCTGCTTCAGGTTACCATTGTCTCTTCTCTGGAAGATGTGTCAGATTTCCAGCTGGTTTCCCTGTCACTCCTGTCTTAGACCTCTCATGACTTCTGTATCTCTTGATGAAAGCCAGAGTCCTTGCAGAGGCCCACCGAGCCCTGTGTGGTGTGGCCCTAATCACCCCTGCCAACTGAGCCCTCCTGTCCTCACCACTCCCCTCAGCCCCAGGGTCCTCACCTCCCATCAAGCACCCTTCCAGCTCAGGGCCTTGGCCCTTGCTGAGCTTTCCATCTGGAAGTGCCTTCCCCTGGTCCCCCTCACTTCCTTTATGCCACCCTGACCAGCCTCACCACCAGCACCCCACCCCTCACTGCTGCCTTTTCTCTGTACCTCTTAGTACCCTCTAATACACTGCAGATTTGATTTGTTTATTCTTTTTTTTTTGAGACGGAGTCCTGCTCTGTTGCCCAGACAAGAGTGCAATCCCTAGTAGCTGGGATTACAGGTGTCCGCCACCACGCCCGGCTAATTTTTTTGTATTTGTAGTAAAGACGGGGTTTTGCCATGTTGGCCAAGCTGATCTCGAACTCCTGACCTCGTGATCTGCCCGCCTTGGCTCCCAAAGTGTTGGGATTACAGGCATGAGCCACTGCACCCAGCCTGTTTATTAATCTTTTCCCTCCTGAGTGTGAACTTTTGTCTTTTTTATTGCCGTTTTCCAGCCCCTAGAACAGTGTAGAGACTCACTAATTATTAGATGAATTACTGAGTGAAAAACCCAGGAAGCCAATAACATAAAGTAGCAAATGTACTTTTGGGGCAGTGTCCAGCCTCATGGTCAGTCAAGAGAATAGAAATCGAAGCCACAAGGTGCCATTTCACAAAATTGGGTGTGTGGGAGGTCACTTAAAATTCAGGAGAAGTTAGAGCACTTTCGTGGTCCTCTGAGTCAGTCATTTCATTTGATTCCTTGCTTGGGGAAACAAATCTTATTCTAGACAGGGGCATCCCTGGGAGTTCCTGTCACATTAGATGTTACAATTAGGACAGCTGGAGGAGGCAGGGATGACTCTGATACTTGAAAAATGTATTTACAATTCCAACCATGCAGCACAAGAATGGGGATATGGACTGGAGGTACATGGAAGAATGCATTTTGATATATTACCATTGTGAGACTTTGAATACATTTTTATTTAAAACCAGTCGCAGTGGCTCACGCCTATAATCTCACCACTTTGGGAGGCCAAGGCGGGTGGATCACCTAAGGACAGGAGTTCTAGACCAACCTGGCCAACATGGTGAAATCCCATCTCTACTGAAAAATAGCAAACATTAGCTGAGTGTGGTGGCACATGCCTGTAATCCCAGCTACTCAGGAGGCCGAGGAATGAGAATCACTTGAACCCGGGAGGCAGAGGTTGCAGAGAGCCGAGATCATGCCACTGCACTCCAGCCTGGGCTACGAAGTGACTCCACCTCAAAAAAAAAATTTTTCCTATAAAGTTTTTAGTTGGGAAAATAGGATTCAGCATGTCTAGTGAATAATGGAATGTATGGAATGTGTAATAAATTAAATGTAAGGCTCATAATACTAATTAAATATAAAAGAATTAGCCAGGTGTGGTGGTGCACAGCTGTAGTCCAAGCTCCTCGTGAGGTTGAAGTGGGAGAATTGCTTGAGCCCAGGAGTTCAAAGATTGAATCCAGCCTGGGCAACATAGTGAGATGCTGTCTCTTAAAGGGGGGTGGGGGGGAAAGGCCAGGCATGGTGGCTCACACCTATAATCTTAGCAATTTGGTAGGCTGAGGCAGGTGGATCACCTGAGGTCAAGAGTTCAAGACCAGCCTGACCAACAAGGTGAAACCCCATCTCTACAGAGCGAGACTCTCTCAAAAAAAAAGAAAAAAAAAAAAGTGGCTCACACCTGTAATCCTAGCACTGTGGGAGGCCGAAGCAGGTAGATCACTGAGGTCAGGAGTTTGAGACCAGGCTGCCAACATGATGAAACCCCGTCTCTACTAAAAATGCAAAAAATTAGGCATGGTGGTATGCGCCTGTAATCTCAGCTACTCAGGAGGCTGAGGCAGGAGAATCACTTTAACCTGGGAGGTGGAGGTTGCAGTGCGCCGAGATTGTATCACTGCACTCCAGCCTGGACAATAGAGCAAGACTCTGTCTAAAAAAAAAAAAAAAAAAAAAAGAAGAAAATAAATTATTTTCTATATTATTTATCTAAAACTCAGTGAGTTGTACAGAAAAACTATGATCTGTTTAGGCTCTTCAAAATAAGCATTGCAGATTATTAATGTATTTCAGGAGAGCAGTGGGGATGAGACTTGTAAGTCCTCGCCTAAGTATCCTACTTGGGGTTCACAGCATAAAAATCGAATTCTGGGCTGGGCTTAGTGGCTCACACCTGTAATCCCAGCACTTTGGGAGGCCGAGGTGGGTAGATCACAAGGGCAGGAATTTGAGACCAGCCTGGCCAACATAGTGAATCCCTGTCTCTACTAAAAACACAAAAATTAGCCAGGCTTGGTGGTACATACCTGTAATCCCAGCTACATAGGAGGCTGAGGCAGGAGAATTGCTTGAACCAGGGAGGCGGAGGTTGTAGTGAGCCAAGATTGTGGCACTCCAGCCTGGGCGACAGAGTGAGACTCTGTCTCAAAAAAAAAAAAATTGAATTCGGAGGGCAAAATCTATGGTCAGAGCCATTTCCTGCTCTGGCCACAGTCCCTCTTTGCAGACATGAGTAC